CCCACACATTCAAAGGCACAGGGACCTCTGAAACAATGTATTCAAAGACTAAATGCATCTGTTTCATCCCAAATCTGGTCCTGCTATATTCTCTATCCCATTTTCTGTCACTACTACTCACCCAAAAGGCCCAGCCAGGAACTAAGTGTCTCCTTAGATTCCTCGCTTTTGTTACCTCCTGCCCCCTTCATCTAACCAGTAGCTGAATTTCGTTCAGCAGGTGCTTTCTTCCTCTCTGATCTACCTGTTCTGACCTATGTGCACCTACGCAGCGTTCACAGTTCAAGTCTGCATCACTTCCTTCTTAGATGGTTACAATGGCCTCCTGACTGTTCTTCCTGCCACCAGCATGGGCCTCACTGACTCCATCCTTTGTTCAGTTACACGAGTCCTATACTTAACCTCTATAAGCCTTATGTCCCTCCTCCTGCAGGCCTTTGATGCTGCCCGTGACTTTCACAACAGTGCACATTCCTTAGTTTATACTACGTTGTTCAGGATAGGCTCTTGGGATTTCCAATCCATCCCAGCCTTTTTATTCAGAAACAGAAAAGTGTATGGACTTTTTGAAATGCATCTTAGCAATGCATGCCTTTGAGGTTCAGATCAACATATAATTTGGCTGAGGGAAAGTTGCTAAACATGACAATTTGGTTGAAACCTAATTCCCAGTTGTGGTGTACCACAGTAATGCCTCAACTCTTGTTAACTTCGAGCTGTCAGTCACTCAGTCAATCATTTCTTCTACAGGTTTTGGGGAAAAGTTAAAATTCAGAATAACTCAAGTGATGAACAAACTAAATAGCCAACATCATAGAACTAATCAAAATAACCTAAATATCCAACAATTATTGAAATTGCTTAAATAAAATATGGTGGGTTACATAATGGTATGTACTGTACACTATCTTCCCCTAATTGTAGAAAACATAGTCATATGTGTGTTTAAATATGCATTAGAAAGGACCTAAAAGGATATATGCTCAAGGGTTATCAGTAATTCCATGTGGGTGGGATTTTAGAAATTCTTTATGTTCTTTTGCTTATCTGTATACTCTGGTTTTTCTTAATGATCGTGTACTATTTTTGTAAATAGAAAAGGCCAATACAATAGTTCTCTTCTTAATCCACCAAAATTATCCAATACTGGAAAAAAGGATAAATATTAACTCTTTACTAAATGTTTTCCCAGAAATACCTAAATTCTATGATTTTTTTTTTTTTTTTTTTACTATTTTCTATAACATCCTGGTTCCTCAAACTTAAATGTCCTTCCTCATTCCCCACCCGTACCTCATCATTCAACTTTTTTATAACCTGGCATCTTCTCTATTCTTTAAAAATCCAAGTCACCTTCCCTGATAAGCTTTTCTTGACCTCTAATCTGCCTTTGGCCAAGGGTTTATGATAAACCAGTCCCAAGTTTGACTGGCTCACAGTCAAATCCATACAATACCTATTTTTGAATAGCCTACAAATTAAGAAGAGTTTGTACATGTGCAAATGCTAGAAAAAAATCAAAGAATAAAATGAACAACCCATGAAAGTACATGAAATTAAAAATTTAGGGCCTATAAATAAAGTTGTATTAGTACCAGGCACGTTCATTCATTCAGGTATTGTGTATGACTGCTTTTGCCCTGCAGTAGCAGGTTGAAGAGTTGCGACAGAGACCAAATGCCCATGATGTCTAAATTAATTATTCTCTAGCTCTTTGCAGAAAAAGTTTACTGACATTAGTTTTAGAAGATGATGCCTCCTCAGTGCCCACACAGGACACCATAGACCTGCCTCTCACTCCGTGCTTGCCTCATATCCTGGAACGGATGATTTGCTTTGGATTCCCTTTACTTTCAAGTGGAGGATATTTTCTAATTAAAGTTGGTTGGTCTCACCGCTGAGCAGAGTGCCTGGTACACAGGAGGCACTTGATAAATATAGCCGTGATGTATGAAGCAATGGTGTAAGCTCCCTCCACCCGAATGTAAGTTACATGAGGCCCGGTGTTTTATCTCCTTTTTCGGCTGTGTATCTGAAAGAGTATCTAGTAGGAACTCGGAAAATACTTGTGGGAGTTGTTAAATGCATCAATGTTGGCACTATATATATATTTAAATATATTTTTATTGATTTCAGAGAGGAAGGAAGAGGGAGAGAGAGATAGAAACATCCACAACGAGAGAGAATCATGGATCGGCCACCTCCTGCAAGTCCCCCACTGGGGATCAAGCCCGCAACCCGGGCAGGTACCCCTGACGGGAATTGAACCTGGGACCCTTCAGTTTGCAGGCTGACGCTCCATCCACTGAGCCAAACCAGCCAGGGCAGTACTACATTTTTTAGTTTTATAATTTTTAAGTCAATTTGTAGTCTTTTATATCATGTATTTGCTGATTGGTGGAAATAAAGCTTTACCTCTGGAGCCTCAGAAAATAAACAAACAAAAACCAAAGAAAAAGACAATGTTAACTTTGTCAAAAAAAGAAGTAGTTAAGAGACCCTTTTAAGAATGTATCGATTTACCCCCTCTTCCGTGCATTTCAATACAGGCATGGCAGCCTGTAGTTACCTCCTCCTTCCACTCACTCTTTCACTCACTCGTAACAACTACAACTGGGCAGGTATTAAATCAAGATCCTGCTGACACTGAGCTATTAAATACCTGTGGCAGCAGGGCTCTCGGAGCCAGCGAGACTCAGTACCTGGCCCCATTTCAAATGGGGATGAGGTGTTCTTTAAGAGATTAATGTGCAGATATCAATCACAGCCTAAATACTGCGTCTGGTCTTGGACAGCCTCTCTCCCAGAGAGCTGAAAGCTCTTTATAGAGGATGAACGAATTTGTTCCCATATTCACTCTATGAGTTTGCAGGAGGGATGAGCTAAGAATCTCTGCCCTGTGCCGAATAACACCTTGCATGTTTACGGGATTGTCTTGTGCGATAACATTCTAGAAGTGTATTTCTGAATGAGCAATGTACTCACTTAGTATCTGATCGTATCATACTTGTCATAGGTCTTGTGATGCACCTAGTAAGTGCAGGCTGTTCTTTCCTGAGCCCCCAAAGTTCCAGAAAGACAGCTTTTGAAATGCAAAGAAACAGTATGTGTCTCCTGACCACTCTGGTGAGAAAGTCTGGCAGCTCTTCTCTCTCCCCTCACTCTAGGGGTTGCTGCACACCCTCTTCCTGGCGTTCATGCATGGTTTTATGGACAACCCCCCTCATGAGCAACCATTTGCTCCTCTGCCACATCGTGATGGGATTGGAGGCGGTTCCCCTTTAGAAGGGCCTAGTCCTCATGTACACAAAAGGGTCAGGTGAAAAAGGAAGGTCTGCCTTGGTTTCCTGCTCTAAATTCACACACACACACACACCTTTTTTAAAAAATATATATTTTATTGATTTTTCACAGAGAGGAAGGGAGAGGGATAGAGAGTTAGAAACATCGAAGATCAGCTGCCTCCTGCACACCCCCTACTGGGGATGTGTCCGCAACCAAGGTACATGCCCCTGACCGGAATCGAACCCGGGACCCTTCAGTCCGCAGGCCGACGCACTGAGCCAAACCAGTCAGGGCCACACACCCACCTTTTAAAAACCTACATGTTAGCTTTTATTTCTTTGAACAACAATAATGGGCATGATTGTGAACACCAATGAAAAGAGGTAAAAAAAAAAAAAAAAAAGTGAAGGCACTACCAAGGGAAACTGAACGGGGAGACTTTGGGAGGTTTGAACAGAGAGTGCCGGGGAGTGTGGGCCGAGCCGGGACAGACGGCCAGTTTCTCGTGCAACCTCACCCTCCCTGAGCCTGGGCTCCCGCCTCTGTAAAACAGGATAGCGTCTTTTAATGTTGCTGTGAGAAGTTCAGGAGACAACTTAGAGAGTTCAGAAAATGCCAGTCACTGCCCACACCGTGTCCAGGCACTGAGCCACCTCCTTAAGGAAAATGATCAGTTGTTCTTACGAGTGAGAGAGAGAATGGCCGAACAAGAGAGACAGACTAAACGGCACAGACCCAAGAACCATGGGGGAGTGTTCTAGTGAAAATTGAAGGTAATTTTGATTGAAGCTTTGTCTATAAAGCAAACAATCGTTGGACAGGTGACCCAAGACCACTGTTCTACTCTGCAGGACACGCAAGAAACATGACTAATCGTAGCTATTACAAGGGACTTCAGAAGAGATTTGTAGCTTTCATAAATTGGAGTGGAGAAGTCTTTCTTTTTTTTTTTTTTAAATATATTTTATTGATTTTTTACAGAGAGGAAGGGAGAGAGATAGAGAGTTAGAAACATCGATGAGAGAGAAACATCGATCAGCTGCTTCCTGCACATCTCCTACTGGGGATACGCCTGCAACCCAGGTACATGCCCTTGACCGGAATCGAACCTGGGACCTTTCAGTCCGCAGGCCGACGCTCTATCCACTGAGCCAAACCGGTTTCGGCAGAAGTCTTTCTTATTTGAATTGAGATCTTTCTTGAGTGAGAGGAGATGGGGGTGGGGACACACTATGATTACAGATACATGTGTCCTTGTCCCTGGAAGTGTGTCGTGGATGTTGACACCGCCACTGTGTGTGTAGGGCACGAAAGGCTGAGACCCACTGGACGAGGGCTCAGCCAAGGAGAGCTCAAGAGAGGAATCTTTAGCATCAGCCACCAGATCACACCAAATTCATGGGGCCTGTCTTCCATGCATTCCCCCGGCATCTGTATTCTGTTTACCAAAAAACTTTCAATTTTTCTTCTTCCAGAAAGAGTTGATTTTAATTCTAAATGATTAAATTGACCTATAAATCTTATGAGTATGTGGGGGTGTCAGTAGACATCCTGGGTCTCATATCACTGCCTTCAGGATGATCATGTCCACTTTGGGATCTTTTCCTGAGTTTTTATCTCACTACCAAGATGACTGTAAAGAGAGTTTTTGATTCTAGACCTTTAGAAAGAGCTCTGACCACGTTTTTTTGGAGAAGACAAAGAAAAGCAAATGCTAAGGACCAAAACCCTTTTTTGGGTGATAATGTAATATTTTTAATATTCAACAATGTTACATACACACCTGAAAATGTACCAACTCACAAAAAAATATTAGTTTGTTGTTTTTTTAAAAAAACTTCAATCCAAATTTATTGGGATTACAAAAATAACAGCATATTTCATTAACTCAGCAGCTCAGAGCTATGAAGCATCTTTAAACAAACTGCTTCCTGCCAATACAAATCTCATGACATTAAAAAAGAAGTTTATTTTCATATTTACAGAAGATTCTTAAGATTCTCTTTGGACTTCATGGCTGAGGCTATTTTTTAAAGTCAGAGGACGTTTCCAATTGAAGAAGGTACTTTAGAAGCATCTCCCGATGCGTTTCATTTAACGCCAAGGAATAAGTCTGCATCCTCTTCTCAAGATTGTGTGTTTATCGCAGAGCGTCTGGAACTTCCACCTACAAAAACAGGGGGTTTTCTTTCAATAAAAACAACACAAATGACGAAGTGAAAAATATCTCTGAGGTATGTCCCCAGCAGGATTCTCGGAGAGGAACTCAGCTATGGATTGGTTTTCAATACCGGATATTAAAATTGTATATTACAAATTAGGTTTGAAACCACGTGTAACCAACCCTTCGGTAACATTTTTGACAAGTGGTGAACTTTTTTGGAATGCAGATTATACTCCCTGATTATTTATTTATTTATTTATTTATTATTGTTAATTGAATCAGTATTTTTATATGTTGTGGCGTGTTTACATGGGGGCTAGCCCTTAAAAAAACCCTGAAAGGACCAGGCACCTCTCTCAAATGGAAATCGGCTCACCAGGCACCTGCTCTGGATGTTACAAACTTGGTAGGCTTGCTCTCGCATGTTAAAATAGTGATAAGTATGTTGGGAGGCGACTTGGGTGCCACTGTGCAAGGGGGGCCTGAGCCCCAGGGTCTCCTCGGGGTACTCACCCGCCTTAGCTGTCTCAGGCTGCTCCCCCGGATCGCTTCCATGAGGTTGTCATGGGCAGATCTCTGTGGGGTAGAAGGTCGGTAGCTGTCTTCTGCTTTCTTCTCCTGCACTGGCCTCAAGGAATTTTTTATTTCCTTTAGGACGTTTTTCGGCTGTTTCTTCACCTTTTTCCCCTTTTTCTTTTTCTGTCCGTTTTGTAAAGCCCGCTGGGCGCTCTCCTGTTGCTTGATGACCTCGGCGATGTTGCGGGTGATGAGCTTTTTCTCTGGGAGCGGCGGCGGCGGCGGCGGCGGCGGGGGTGGCAGCCTCTGCGGCGCGGGCGGCGGCGGCGGCGGCGGCGGCGGGGGAGGGGGCGGGGGCGGGGCCGCCGGAGACGGCGGGCGGCTCCTCACCGTCTGGACTTTCTTGGGGAGCTTGGGGGACGACCAGGGCGACTGCCTGGGCGATGCGTACGGCGAGGAGCCGGGCGTCCCTCTCTGCCAGACCGCGGTCCTGGGCTGGGCCCCGCCGTCCGCCGCCTCCTGCTGCTTCTGCTCCTGCATCCGCTTCTGCCGCTGCTTGTCCATGTTGCGCGTCAGGAGGCTGGTCATGCTCATGCGCGGCCCCGGCAGCTCGAAGTGGTAGCCCAGGCGCAGCAGCGTGGTGTTGTCCCGGAGCAGCTTCACGATCTCCATCTCCACCTGGCTGCCCATGATGTGCCGCTGGTTGTGGAAGCGCAGCTCGGTGAGCACGGGGTTGTGCTGCAGGGCCCGCATGAGCGCCAGCACGCCCTTGCCCGTGACGAAGTTGGACTCGATGTTGACGCTGGTGATGTGCCGGTTGACCCGGAGCATGTCGGCGATGGCGGCGGCCGCGGCGTCGTCCGCGTGCGTGTTGGCCAGGCTGAAGGTGCGCACCACCGTGTTGCCCCGCAGGGCCTCGGCGAAGCGCGCGAGCGTCTGCGACGTGATGTTCTCGATGTTGTTCAGGTTGACCTCGCGGGTGTCGGGGTCGTTGCTCCGGATCTTCGCCAAGGCCTCCTCGATCACCGTGGGGTTGCCGCTGGGGTGGATGGCGGCCGGCGACTCCGAGTGCCGCCCGCTGTGGCCGTTGGTCAAGCTGATGTTTTCTAACTGACTCTTAAATGTCTTCGGCCGGGCGCTGTCGGGACTGGCGCGCTCAGGGTGGGCAGTGCCGTTGATGGCTTCCTCGTCTTCAACGGCGCTCTCCTCTTCGTGGCTGTCGTCCTCGTCCTCCTCCTCTTCTTCCTCTTCCTCCTCTTCCTCCTCCTCCTCCTCCTCCTCCGCCTCCTCCTCGGTGTACACCTCCTCGGACACCTCACTGTTACTTTCAGTAAAAATCAGCTCTTCCTCACTCTCCTCTTTGTCTTCTTCTGCAACCTAGAGAGCATGGCACCATCGTTAAGTTTGTCATTGCTAAGCACACTTTTTAAATTTACAAAAGTAACATGGTTTCACAATACCCTCGATTTTGCAGACCTTCTGGCCTTCGCGGGTGCCGCAGACCACATTTCCCGTCTGTCTGTCATATGTGAAAATTAGCACCTTTAATTTTAAAATGCTTACGTGTAACCAAGATTTGCTGATCATTAAAGCCACAGGTTATTTTTTTGTCATTAATCCATTATTATATTGTATTTTTTAAAAAATTTTTTTTATTGATTTCAGAGAGGAAGGGAGAAGGAGAGAGAGATAGAAACATCAATGATGAGAGACAATCATTGATTGGCTGCCTCTTGCATGTCCCCTAACGGGGATCGAGTCTGCAACCCAGGCATGTACCCTTGGCCAGAATGGAACCTGGGACCCTTCAGTCCGCAGGCTGATGCTCTATCCATTGAGCCAAACCAGCTAGGGCCACTGTTATGTTTTAAACACATTTTAGCAAATAGGCCATATGTTGGGAAAAAAACACTGTCATGATTTCCCCAACATAAATTAATATTGCATGTTTGCAATCATAGTCTACATATTTAAATCCAAAAGTCACTGTTGGTAAACAATGTTTACCAAGCGATTAGCATGTGATCACACCGCACCTGGCACTGTCCTTGGTTCCGTTGTCGTGTGGCGTGACTTTCTGGGGCAGTTTTAACACGTGCAGGCCATGCCCCACCTGCTCTAAGCCAACCCCAGCGTGTGCACTTGTTTACTCGTGACTGGTGAATGCACGCATTTACTAGACCTACTCAGTAGACATTTAAAGTGATGTAATGCATATAGAAAACTTTTTTGTGAAAGTCAACTTTTCATACACACTTAATTTTAATTGTCTATGTAAGTAAAAACAGGTTAACTAATTTGTCAATTTTTTAACATATATATTCGGAAAATCTGCTTTACCAAATTAGTCCGTGATATCAAGGTTTTACTGTTACGTTGTACAAATAAAACGAATACATTGTTATATGTCAACTATAACTCAATAAATACAGAAAAAGAAAAAGCAACACATGGCAAGTAACAAAAATATATAAGAAGAAAATTTAATCTCCTCGGTGACCAAGGTTAACATTGAATTGCATAATTTTCAACAGCTTTTTCTACAAACATTTGTTGTGTTTTCTGCAGAATAAGCATTCAGAACGCAATTTGTTGAACTAAAATTTACTATCATGTTGCCACTTTGAAAAATAAGGTGGAACTTTGGCTTTGGAAACCCGTGATCAATTTTGTATTCTTTTTCTTAACTACTTACTCTGAACTACTGGACACCTAGCCTACGTACAATTTTTTAAAAACTCACCCCTCCCTTCTGGATTCTGCCCTCACCCCTTTGTCCACGCTTATTTCTCCATCCCAAAGAAACACATGGCAACACGAATACACAACACGTTAATGGATTTCTTCTCTTAATGTTGAAGACTTTTCGTAAACGTGGTCTCCTGTAAGCAGATGTGACAGGAGCCAGGTGCTGTGGGCCGGGCCTGCCTCGGTGGAGACAGAGGCAGTGGCGTCCTGTGCTTCTCCAGCATTTATCTTCCTCGGGGGCAGAGCCTGGCACAGGTGCCCAGAGACCCCACACCCATGAGCCGCTGCTGGCCCTGTCCCTGCTCCGGGGCAAGAAGCCCAGGAAGCGGGGCTGCTGTCAGGGCAGCAGGTCAAAGCTTGGCTCTGTGAAGAAAAACACTTCGGTCACCCTTTTCAGCAAATCAACTGGAAATCTCACGCGAGTGCAGGGTTAGATGAGACGGACCGCAGCAACTAGACTCTAAGTGTAACGCGGAACAGCAGAGAACAGTAGACAATCGTGAAGCAAGCCATTGCCTCAGCCCATGGTCTTCAATTATTTACCACGTTTCCATTATGAAAGCCCTTCAGGCAAACACAATTTCACTTTGTCTTTCCTGTTGACAAGACTCTACTAAAAAGTCCAACTGACTCCTTTCTTTTTCTGATTTAAAAAAAAAAAAAGGAAATTGCTGACAGTTCAATTTTTCCATGTCCCTCCCCTGTCCCCAATGCCTTGGTTCTTCCTTCCACACTGGCACCTTTTATTTTTATTTTTATTTTTTTACCCTGAGGCATCCTACTGCCTGAGGCCTGTGGAATGAGCTTTGGATAACACTGTGCTTGTCTCCACAAGTTTGTTTGCCCAGTTGCTATCACAAAATAGCCTCCAGTTATCCACTTGTTTGGAGTGGCAGGCACCAAGTGATGGCCTGGGGAAGGGGTCAGGCTTCTGGGATGGCTTGTCCAGTCTTAATTTACTCTCTTCTTCAAGATCAGGAGGGAGAGGGATGTGTGTGTGTGTGTGTGTGTGTGTGTGTGTGTGTGTGTGTGTGTGTGTTTAGTTGTTTCCATATTTGCAGGAAAGGGGCCTTTCTCAAAATTCAAGGTATGGTGCCTTAAATTTTTATCCATTTTGGTTTTTGAAGAACTTTAGGCTGTATCTGCAAGAGATGTTGTCCCCTCAAAAACATACTTTCTGCCGAAACCGGTTTGGCTCAGTGGATAGAGCGTCGGCCTGCAGACTGAAAGGTCCCAGGTTCGATTCTGGTCAAGGGCATGTACCTGGGTTGCGGGCACATCCCCAGTGGGAGATGTGCAGGAGGCAGCTGATCGATGTTTCTCTCTCATCGATGTTTCTAACTCTCTATCTCTCTCCCTTCCTCTCTGTAAAAATTCATAAAATATATATATAAAAAAAACACAACGTACTTTCTTCCAGAAAGCTTTCTTTGACACCCCCTGAAATCACCCTGGTGATGCATTCCCACCACCTTGTACTTCCCCCTAAAAAGTGCCTATTTTAATGAGTTGTTTGTCATTTTCCCCCAAAGGCTGTTAGCAGGGTGAGGACAGGGATCATGTCTGTTTCGCTCGCCTGGCTCCGCATGTAGCGGGGGCTCAATCAATATCTGCTCACTGAATGGATGTAACATGACATGGGCTAATGGCTGGGCCCCACTGCCAGAGTCCCTCATGCAGCAGGTCGGAGGGAGCATACAATTAGCTGCTCTGAGAAGTTCCCAGATGATGTTGAAGGTCGGGCACCCACATTTTGAGAATCGTGGTCTTTGTGCCATTAGAACTTGGTGTGAATTTCAGCTTGCTTTTAGAGTGTTGAGCTCAAATGCATTTCTGAACCTCTCTTAGTCTGAGTTCTCGTGTGCGGGAGGTAAGAATTCAATGAAATGATGTGACTGTACTCAAGCTAGGGGAGTTAGAGCCTTGGTCTCCAAGGCCCACGGAGCTATTGAGTGTCGCATAGCTTTGTGTGAAGGGGGGTAGGGGTGGGGGGGCAGAGACTGTCATTCAACAGCAGTTGAATATGGTTTTCCTGAGCTTTTATAGAGCCAATAGCTGCAAAGACCCCCATCTCCTCCCTCCTCATGGTCTGTGCTGTGTGCTCCTCACTTATGCTGTGGCTCCTGGCCCGCCCACCCACCCACCCATCGTCTGCTTTGAGCTTTTCCCTGCGGCTGGAATGGATTTACACTCTCCATCAGCAAGCTTCTGCCCAGCACTCCATGTGACTACAGGGACAGCTGGCCAGCGAGGAAAGTGTCGCGAGAGAAAAATTAGCCAGAAAGGAGTCAAAGTTCATCAACACGGGAGCCTCTCTAATTGACTCGATAAGCCACTGGCGGGGATCAGCCAAACCTTTGGCGGGATCAGATGGGTTCCACCCACCGCTGACAGCAGGCTTCGCCCTCTGCTTCCCACCCACCAAGCTAAAGACATGGTGGCATTAAAATGCCTTTGCGGGGTTATTGCTACAATGGCTGTCTGTCCTGCATCTTCTGGGTCACCTTTAATCTTTTTATGAAGGAATTTCTTGAATAACTGTCACAAACAGGGCATATTTTATATATTTTAACGCACATTCCCACATCAGGAAGAAAAAGAAAAGACCCCTACACAGCATGGCTGTGGAGGAATTGACCTTAAATCCTGGCCTGTCATGTGTGTCCTTCCTTGTCACCTCCCCCTCCAGGCCTTCCATGCAGGCGGCCAGCGTGGCCTTGGCAGACACCGGCCCGATCCCCGTGACCCCTCCTGCGGTGACTGACGTGGGCAGAGCTCACACATATCTTGCTACAAATGTGGCCCACACACCCTGCCACCAAGATCAGCTAACAGCGCCTGGATTAGTCCTGTGGACGTCTTCCCATGGGCTCCAGGCCATTTGGCTTTTAGGTGAGTGTAGTGAAGCACAGAGGTTTTAAACCATCGCTGCAGACCCGTGTTCTTCCAGAAACTCGGAAATTGGCGTTATCAACGTTCTCATGGCCGTTACCACTTTCCCATTGTCTTTTGAGCTCCTTTTCATGATTCATTTGGCGAATTTAAAGAAACGTTTACTGGGCAGAGAACAAGGGCTCGGGAAGCCTGCGCTCTGATAGAAGTCCATTTTCTGGCCCCAGCATCACGACTGTAAAGTAGGAAGGAATCTTAGAGCCGTCTACCCAGGCAGGCTTAACCTGGGCCCTCAGGGGGCTTTGGATGCATGTCATCATTTTTGAAATTCTGTGTAGAAATATGTGTGTGTGTGTGCACAAGCGCACGTGTATTTTCTTAAGGAGAAGGTCCACAACGGACCCAAATTTCAAAGGGGTTTTGGTTCATATGCAGACAGTAAAACCACAGGCTCCCAGTCCCTCAATGGACAGACGGGAAAGAGGAGCCTGCTTAAGTGACTATCTGTCCAACAACTTAGAGATACAGAAGGGACTAGAAAGAAGGTCCCCTGACTCTCAGTTCCATGTAATTTCCTGCCACCCCACACTTCCTGGTGTAGCCACATCACAGTCAACGCAACAAGAGTACCCATTTTTGTCTTTAAAGAAGAAAATAAATTTACATAACTATAATATATATTTATAAAATCTCAGACACAGATACTATGCCACATCCCCAGCTTATAACTCAAATTAGACTTACGTTTGGCAAACTATCTAAACCTATGCCTTACTTTTGAACTATTTTCTTCTTGAAGATTCCATCTTTAGCCAATTATTAGAACCCCAGCCAATCATTTTACACATTACGATCCTTCGGGTGGCCATAGAACTTACAGGACTATTTCAGCCCGAAACAGTGTTCAGTAGCAGGTTATAAGGACTGAAGAGTGAGGGGGACTGCAGAGGGAGAGAAAGCAGGTTCCTAGATTTGGGGTGGGGGTGGGGGTGGAGGGGCCCGGGGAGCAGCCAAGAAAAGGTCCGGAAAGCCTACCTTCCCACACTCCCCCAGCCGCTCCTTCTCCAGCAGCTTCTGGGACTCCTTTTCCCAATAGGCCATCAGCGCCTCCCTGCTGAAATTCCCCGTGGGGGTCTTCTCCGTCAGACTCTTCTGTCGGAGCCCCACCGGCAGGTTGCGATCAGGTTCAATGTCCTCCAACTCCCTCTCCAGCTCCTTCAGCTCCTCGGCCGTCAGGGAAGCCAGGAGCTCGTCCTCGTCGATGGATTCATATTTGCTAAGTCCTCTCCTGTAGCCGAAGGTAGACATGGTTCCTGTTTGGTCAGACGCACAAGGAGCTTGAGGACCTGGGCATGCAAGGCAGCCAGGAGCAGGCGAGGCGGCCAGGGGCAGGCTGGCCAGCAACTGGTGCGGGGAGCGGCTGCGATAGCCTTTTAAGAGGGTGATACAGGCCGTGACAATGCGGCCGGGGTGAAGGCATGGGCTGTTTTAAGCATCAGACGTCAGCTAGACATTTGAACACAAAGAATGTCACATCAGTGGTGGATGGAGGTCTCAGAAGCAGTGGGGATTATGCACACACTGGCCAGGGACAGATTTAGCTGTGCCTGATAGCTCCTGAGGACAGGCAGAGAGGTCTCCGACAGGGAGAGACACAGGTTTTCACTTTGTGTTCAGACAACAGGGGAATACAAGTTCATGTTGAACTGACTGGCTGCCACCCCCGTGGCCACGAAAGGGGTCCTTTTAATCTGAGGGGTGCAGTAGGTAGTTATTCAGGTTTTTCTAAAAGCGCCGCGATGGGAACAGACAGCTATGCTCACAGAGCACTTTAGGTTTTTTATGGCATTGTGTAGTTTACAAAGCACTTTAATACAATTTCCTTAATCACAGCAAGTCCGGTGAGATGACAAACAGTGTCCTCCTTCACAGACTTTGGCAACCAAGGCTCTGAGAGATGAAGTGACAGATTGGGAGTCAGCCAGCCAGACTGCGAAGTGGCCCTCTCCCCAGCGCAAAATGGCTCCCCTCTCCTCACCCCTGAGTGTTAGGAAACTCCTAGGTTTGCAAATAAAACTCCGAAAAGACAAACAGTAATACTGGGTAGGATTTGTTAAGAACTGACACTGTGCCAGCCTAATGCTAAGCGTTTTATATAGTTCATCTCATTTAATTCTACAGTTCTGTACAGTAAATATTATTCCCACATTTCACTAATATGGTCTCAGAGAGGTCAAGTAACTAGCCCAGGGCCACAGAGCTAGAATTTGCACTCATATTTGTGTCTGGGCTGAAAACGAAAGAGAAGCTAATTTGAAATTATATATATATATATATATATATATATATATATATGCTCATATTCTTATGAATGTGATAAAATATATAGCTCATGAGACTTTGTAAATGTATCATTTTAGCACAGGGATAGATTAAAAATCAGTTAAAATGTATATGCATTGAAATATACATTTATCAATACATGTATAATATATTATATTTTGTTTATGTATTCAGCAGCTGGTGAATATATATATATATATATATATATATATATGTATAATATTTGGGTTGTTTCCAGGTTTGGGTTATTATAAATAATGCTGCTGTAAGAACAATTATATGCAAGTGTTTAAGTGGCCGTATGTTTTCATTTCTCTTGGGTAAATAGGTATGTAGTTGTGGAATTGCTGAGTTATATGGTAAATTTACATTTAACTTTTCCAGAAACTGATAAACTATTTTCCCAAATGGCTGCACAAATTTACATTCTCATCAGCAATTGAAAAGAGTTCAAGTGTCCCCACATCCTAATTTGCTATTGCTTTTTTTTATTATTATAGCCATTTCAAGGGTATGAAATGGTATCTCATTATAGTTTTAACTTTCATTCCTCTAATAATTAACGATGTTGGGAATCATTTCATGTGTTCATTGTTTCTCTTATGTCTTCTTTGGTAAAATAATTATTCAGATTTTATGCTGATTTTAAAAATAGGTTGTCTCTTATTGGGACATATATTTTCCATATACTCTGGACTTTATCAGATATATGATTTGCAGATCTTTTATCCCATTCTTTGGCTTGTCTATTCATGTCTTTTGAAGAGCAAATGTTCTTAATTTTGATGACGTTCTATTTATCAAATTTTTCTATTATTGCTTGAGTTTTTGGTGTCATAAGAAATCACTTCCTAGCTCAAAGTCAGAGAGAATTACGCCTATGTTTTCTCTTAAGAGTTTTATAGTGTTAGGTTATTATATTTAAGCTTGTTACCCATTTTGACTTAATATTTGCATATGTGTAAGATAATAGTCTAAATTCATCTTCTTGCATGCAAATATCCAGTTGTCTTAGCACTTAAAAAAATACTATTAAATTGCATTGGTGCCTTTGTGGAAAATTACGTGTCCACAAATGTAAGGGTTTCTTTCTGGACTTTCAAATCTGATCTATGAATCTGTGTAAATTTTCTATGCCAATACCACATGATAGCCCTGTTGTACATAGTGAAATTGCAAGTGTAAGTACTCCAACTTTTTTCTTTTGCAAAAATGTTTTAACCATTATTATCTTCACTCATTATGGTATACTGCCTCCAAAAATAGCTACAACTCTTTTCAATGATTCTAATGAGAGAGATGATTATGAAATTAGAAATGATGAGTTCATTAGATTTTTTTATGGCCTGAGCATATGCTTTTGCATAACTTCAGTGGTAACACATCTTACCTTATGTGAAAATGGTTTGGTTTTTGGAAAGGACAGCAAATCATTATAGCCAAGTGTGGTGAAGAAGATTAGTTATTCATCTGTATAATGACATTTTAGGTAAAACAATGAATTATGATTAAAACTATATTAAAACCTTTGTGTTTTTTGATAAAAAAAAAGATGAGAAGAAAATATATGAAAATGATAGCCCAAGTTTATTTCTTCAACAATTATGTACTGGCCCATGTGATATGTGCAAATTTGAAGGTATGTAATTTATGTACAAAAACATAATTGTATTTTACTCCCCTTTCTGTCTCTCTTTCTTGTTTTTAATTTTTCTGCAACACTTTAATATTGTTTATATTTGACAATTTATTAAACACACACTACATGTCGGATTCTGTTTTAGGTGCTGGAGTTAATGCAGTGAAAAAAACCAACCACATGCCTTCCTTGATGGAGCCTTCTGGAGACAGACAGCATATAAATGACCCAGCAACTACAGAGCATATCAGACAGAAGCTGCATGGAGAGAAACAGAGCAGGGCAAGAGGGAAGAAAGGAGATTGTGGGAATAATATTGCAAGTAGGAAAGATCTCTGTAATAACTGACATTTGAGCATAGACCTAGAAAGGTAAGGGCTTGATGTGTGTAGATTATAATGCTACACATTTAATGTGATTATAAAATAACTAGAGGCCCGATGCATGAAGATTCATGCAAGAGTAGGCCTTCCTTCCCCTGGCTGCTGGCACCGCCTTCGCTCTGGCCCGGAGCCGCCTTCCACCTTCAAGTGCTGCCCAGAGGCCCGGAGCGGCCAGGGTGGGGCAGAACACCTGCATCGTCGTCATGGCGACAACGCAAATGTCCTGGCTCGGCTGCCACCATCTTTGTCATGTCAAGTTGTATATTCTCTCCTTATTGGCTTTGGGCACCGCCATCTTTGTCGTGAAGTGACAGTCAATTTGCATATTCTGTCTTTATTAGATAGGATTACTCAGATATTCCTGGAATCACAGGTGGTCAGAACTCAAAGGGACTTTTGAATACATGGATCCTCTCTTTATCACTTCTGTTCAGTGGTCACCTAGCCTTTGCTTGAACACCTTCAGTGGAAATGCTACATTACCAAAAATTCATTCCATTGTTGGATGGCTCAGTCATTACAAAATTCTTATTTCTATTGTGTTGTAAACTGATCACTTGGAAAACCAACTTAAAAATTTTAGTTTTGAGCCCTAGCCGGTTTGGCTCAGTGGATAGAGAGTTGGCCTGTGGACTGAAAGGTCCCAGGTTCGATTCCAGTCAAGGGCACATGCCCGAGTTGTGGGCTCGATCCCCAGTGGGGGACTTGCAGTAGGCAGCCAATCCATGATTCTCTCTTATCATGGATGTTTCTCTCTCTCTCCCCCCCTCTTCCTTCCTCTTTGAAATCAATAAAAATATATAAAATAATAAAATAAAAAATAAAAAAAATAAAAATTTTAGTTTTCTCACTGGAACAACCCAGAATAAATAGTCTCACAAATCTTGGGTGGCTCATGGATGACTGTTAAAATGACTCCAAAAGCGGAGACATGAACGTGTTTGCTCTGTGGCAGCATCACTGGGGCAAAATGGCCTCTCCAAGGACACTACCTTAAGACAATATCCATTTAGATATCCTATATACATGTTAAAATCTCTCTGATTATGATAATAATCGCAATTCATTGGGATCTTAATTCACTGGATCCCCCTTTAAATATTCTCCACAAACTTTAATTCCATTGAATATAATTCTGCTGAGTGACAAAACACTACCACCTAGCCCTGGCTAGAGTTATGTACAATGAATAATTTAGATTTCCTTGCAACCTTGTCTATATTAAGAGGGGAAAACAATCAAATCATATTTCTAGCACCACCAGCATTTTCTATTTTGGAATTTTCATTTGAGCACATTGTGGTGTGCTTATTTAAAACATATTTTTATTGATTTCAGAGAGGAAGGGACAGGGAGAGAGATGGAAACATCAATGAGAGAGAATCTTTGATTGGCTGCCTCCTGCATGCCCCCTTCTGGGGATCGAGCCCTCAACCAGGCAAATGCCCTGACTGGGAATCAATGATCTCCTGGTTCATAGGTCAACGCTCAACCACTGAGCAACACCGACCTGGCAAGCACATTGTGTTTTTGAGCAGAATTGCTTTTAGAGTCAATGATACTATAAGCCTTTTCAAGATTAGCATCATTTGTGTGTTTTTTTAAAAAAATCTTTTATTGGGAGAATTATTTTCATGGTTCCTGATTGGCAATCAGATACACACTACTTCCCAGTATATTGTTCAGTTCCCTTTTTAGTGAAAACAGTTTCTTCTTTCGCCTTTTATTTTCTTTGGTTTCCCCTTGAAAATGCTATTGTTTATGAAGCACATGTTTGCCAAGTACCTGCTGTGTGGGCAGGTACTGTGCTGGGAGCTAGGGTTACATACAGAAAAATAGAAATTGATCTGGCCCCTGCTCTCAGGAGTTCATCCTCCAGGGAGAAAGGCAGACAACTGACGGCAGCAGAGTGCAGGGAGGGCTCCGCCAAGGTGCCAGCAGGAGGAGGGAGGTGGAGTGCAGGTGCAGGTGCAGAAGCAACATGGCCCGTGGCCCGCCTGGGAGTGGGAGTCGGCGAAGGCTCAGAAGTTGATAAAGAGCTTTCCACGCAGACAGACA